GCATCCTGTGAAAATCCACACAACAAATGGTGGAACCTGGGACACCTTTCCTCCAGTAAACATTAGCACCTTAAAACAAGGAACTTCCTGTAATTAGGGACACAGTGCCAAATTTGCAAGGAACAATTTCATCTCTGATTCAATTATTAATATACTTTTCAAAATATATGGGCTTTGGACAAATAGTCCCCAAAGTGAGAAAAGCAGCTTTATTTTCTGAGCCTCTACCATCCATATTAAAAGGAAAAGTTGTTCAAGCACATTGCCATTTTTATGAAATAATAATTAAAATAATTCTAATACAGAACACAATTTGTTTTGCAAATTGAGTCCTATATGAGAGCCTTGCCAAGGAACTTCTGTCTCAGAGTTCTTCTGTAACAGAGTCTACAGGAAAAGTTCCAAGAGAGACTAAGCAAAAGGTCAAATCAGAACATTTATAATGGCTTCGTTTGAAGCATCACAAAGCTTTGGGTACAAACCTTAAATCCATTTTTGCAACATCCCATCATACTTTTTTATATATACTCAAGAAGAAAGTCATGTGCCTTCTGACTTTTTTTTCCATTATGCCTGCTCTGAAGGTTTGAAAGCTTGCCTCAAAAGTTTAGGACAACCACAGCAGCCTGCCAAGACTGTTTCCCTGCTCAGGTATATGAAACTGTTTTTTAAATGATGGGGTACTATAGTCTGGTTAAGAGGCAAAAGGGATTAAGCCTAATTTAAAACACTTGAGGTTAAACTGTGTTTAATATTTAAACAGAAAATGCCTTTCTGGGATTTCATACAGACTATGTCAGTTACATCTGTAGTTTCATGTAAACACATGACACATACACAAAATAACTTACTGCAATTAAAAATAAATACACTGAATCCTTGTATCAGTCCTTAGAAAAGCAGATGTAAAGAGGACTCCAACCTGGAGTTCTGAGTTGCTAAGATTTTTTTTAATGGCTTTGACTATTATTGCATAGATAGAGAAAAGATTAGAAAACCAAGCACTTGTATCAAATCAGAAAAGACACCTCAATGCTCATCTCTGACTTTTGACTGTCATCCTGCTTTTCTTCAAGTTTGCAGACTTTTGTGCCCCTCTGTTGCTCAGGAAAATGCTTATTGTAATAAGGATGGAAATATTCCCCTGCAACTGCCCCATGCAGAGTAAGGAAATAAAAGAAATTGGCTTCTTTTCTCTGGATAGATTCCAGCCTCCGTATGTTTTTGTAGTTAAAACAACAATAAATATTCAGGTCTCTCAATAAAATGAATCATTAATATCCCACAGTTTCTTCTCTCTCACCAGGGGAAGAAAATCTGTCTGAAAATAGGCATTATTATGGAAGATCGCTGGGTAAGTATAGTAGCTTCTCACCCAGATCATTTTTTGTAAATGGCCAGGGCCTTGGTTCTGCATTTTCCACAGAAAGCATGCAGTAGAAAATGTTTGGACAAGCAGCCAGGATCTAGGGCCATGTATTACAGAAGAAAAATGTGCATCACAACTATCAGTCATCATCAAGGAGGGCTGGAAGAAGCTGTGGCTCAGAGTTCCCTCAGACCAAAAGCAACACCCATGGGTTGCTCTGGACTTAGCCTATACTGGATGACAGCTCATGGACAGGAGCTGTCTCACCCAGTTTCTATGCTGTTACAGATAGCAACCCACACGTGTTCCAGTTGCTCCAGCTTATTCTCTCTACTTTGTTTCACAAATGTTTGTTTCACAAATCATGCTGTGATTCATGACTGAATGGTATCCAGAGTTCCCACTTGTAAGGGAGCCCAAAATAATGAGCAAGAGCTGTTTCAGGAGTTCCTGACTGAATTGGCTGGGCTCACTCAAACAGTTCTATTTCAGGGCTCCAAGCAGGTCTGTGAGCTGAGCACACAAGGAAAGATAACTCAATTGCTTCACAAAACTCCCACACCTGCAAAGGCTTCTGCACCCCAGGACAGAAAAGACCTGATGTAACCTTTCAGAGTGCTGGCAGGACACATCTGTTTCACTTTACAAGGACATGCCCTGAAGAAATCACTGCATCACAGAATCTGAGAATTTCAGTACCAAGTAACTCAAAAACACCTATATTTACTTCTGTCAAAGTTTGGGGGGCTAGAAAATAAGTAAAGAGAGCCTTTAAATGTTATTCAATACAGTAATCACTGCTAAATCTTGTCTGTAAAATATACATTGCTGAGATCAACTGACAGCTTTAGTCACAAACCTGAGTCTTTTCCCAAAATCATATCAAATTTCAGACCTCTCAGTGAGAATGAGTGAATTTTGCCTGATACTTAGCTTTTGGCATATCTATTTAATTAAGACCTATTTAGAAGAGCTCTTTATTTAGATACAAACAATCATTCTTTCAATACAAAAGGTAACAAGTATAATCATTTATGTTGCTAAAGTACAGAAGGGGCTGGAGTTACACTGGGGAGCAGACTGACCCACCATCTTCCAGCTTTAAATTAATTACATGAGGAAATTTACCATTTTCATATTTTATTTTTACAGGTCATTAAATACCAGTGTAATTGCTGCTCTGTTTCCTTTCTAGAACATGAATTCTAATTAATAGTATTGTAGTAAGTTAATGTAATATGATAATGACTTGAGAATAGCTTAACTGCTGTCATTATAGAGTACCTGCAGATGTTCAGCCAATTGGCTCATTCATTATCTGGCCATTCTCATGCACCCATACATTGAGAAAACTTTGCCTGCAGGAAGGGTAATGAAGTTATTTCCAGCATTACTACTGGAAAGAACTTGGATTTTTCTAGAGGTAGAATGTTTAAGGGAAAAGGAGGAGGTTGTGGCTACATAGTAGAATTTCTTTTTTTTTTTTTTTTTTTTACATCACTGACATTTTAGGAAGTTGAGCTATGTCTCAATGTCTGTAACCAGAGCATCCTGTCCTGTGGCTATTATGGCTATTTCACCTATGGCTATTATAATTGTTTAAATTCAGCCTCACATTGCAAATGCCCACAAGCTCTGTATAAGTTAAGACTGGACCAATTCTACATCATTTTAAGCAAATTCACATGTGGACATGATTGAAAATAACCAGATGCACTATTTTTGCTCCGCTTAATGGTCCTTATCGAGATGTAAACAGAATTGTTTCTGGAGACCTAAAAGGGGGGAAACTGACAAATATACTTTAAAATTTCAATCCTTATCATTAAGAAACCTCTCTTTTTTTAAGGTGTTACAGCAGTGGCAGGGTATTGGAACTTTTGGCCTGCCATTTTTTTCAGTATTTGCCTTCCTAGAGATTGCCATTTTTTTCATGGTTTGTATATCTTCAAGCATAGCCTAGAGCAAAAAAGTCAATAAAAATGAAAGACATAAGCTTCAGATAAGTAAAATACTATTTCCAATATGGAGGTAAGGAAGCAGATGGAAGTGTGAAGTGACTTTCCACAGTCACTTCAGTTAGAATTAACATAAATAGCAACCTAGAATCAAATAAAAAATTGAAGCACGGAGCTTGTCTCATGAAGCATTCCCCTCCCTGCAGGGAGACCTTCAAAGGGATAGCATGTTGCTCAGATGCTTGTCCAGCCAAGCAAGGTTAACCGGTCTCCAAGTATGGAGACCCCTCACCTTCCCTGGACAATGCATCCCCATGCTGCATCCCCCCAGCTGTGATACTTTTGTCCCTGTATCAAGCCAGTGTTTTTCTTTGGAGTGTGTGACTGATGCCACTGCCTGCCTGCCACTGTGCACCTCTGGGAAGAGCCTGGCTCCATCTCCTCACCCCTTCTGGCTGCAAGCAGATGTCCCTGAGTTTCCTCCAGGCTTAATGAAGTCCCTTCATCTCGCCATGCACTGAAAATGTTTCCATTCAGAAGCGAGTGTGCTTTTACTCTTGGCTGGAGATTTACAGATTTGCCCGTCCTTGTTTCCACATCAGGGTTGGTAGCTTTTCAGGACTGGCATGCAAGACTGTACTCTGCTTTCCTAAATTAGAGACTCTGCGTGCTGGTAGGAAGCCAGCAGGAGACGCTTCCTTTTTGGCAGGTGACAGTGCCAATCAACCTACAAGGAGTACCGGGCATCTGTGTGAATGTGTGGCTCCTGGCAAGTGTAGGTCCTGGGGCTCCTTCATTCCCAAATGCTGTCTTTCCCAAAATGCTGCAGGCCCCAACTCTTTTTTCTGCTTGGAAACCTGCCTGTAGTTAGTGCTGCCTGAGCTGCCTCGATCACAAGGACTGAAATAGATGTAACCTTGTTTCCAAAGCATGCTGCAGTTACGTAAAGCTTAAAAGGACTGTTCATCCCTTTGTGAAAGGCAATGGGAGCTCTTTACAATTTATTCAGGTTCTCGCTCTGCAAGTTAAAACTTACAATGTTAATAGAGGCTCTACCCTGACAGCCTTTAAATGAGAAGGAGGACAGATGACCTTTGTGGCATCTGCTCTAGGTTTCTGTAGCACGAGAAACATTACAGTACCATTTTTGGGAGAGAAGAGATGAATTTCTGGCAAAGGAGCACAACTGAGTGAAACAAGCTGCTGGCTTGCAACATCCTCTCCTCAGTAGCAGAGATCTGATTTTGCTCTTAGATTTATTAAAATACAGTAAAGTTACAGCTGAATTTCACAAAGAATGGACCCTTAATTCACAGTAAGATAAATGTGCCCTTTATTCTGCTTCAATATAGATCATCCTTATCTATATATTTGACATCCAGGTTCACTAAGTCCAGGGACCATTGTGCAGCAGAACTATAAAAGAACATTCATTCTGATTTAGTTTTGTAATCAATCTGAGGCTGTTGGATCCAATTCAAGGCCATCTCAGTGTCTTAGTTTTTAGAAGAGTTGTTCTTATTTTATATCAGCATGTGTTAAAGAAAATATTGGCCTCTTTTCCTGGAGCTGGACTTGTGCAATGCTTACATGTAAAAATAATCCCACTGAGACCCCCCTAGCTGCTTTGATTGCAAAAAGCCAAATGTTCCTATCTACTATACAGCAAGAAAATGAGCAGAGGGCTTTGCAAACTGGAAGAAAGAACAAGACAAAAGCACAGATGAGATAGGAAAGAGCTTTGCCCCATATTCCTGGTAAGTTTGCAGAATTTCTTCCGTATTTATACTGCAATTTGAAATCTCTTCAGAGAAGCCAGCCAGCAGCCAGCCAGCCCTGGAAAAAGAATTACCTTTAACAACCAGCACGTTTTTTAGTCAAAGTTAAAGCTTCTTGCAGCAAAGCCAGCAGCATGTAGTTGTAGCTGCAATTGCCCACTGCAGCCCAGAGCAGTAGCAAAGCAGCTCTGGCAGGCAGGATTTTTAAGAGCTGGGCTACCACTCCATGGAGCAGCGAGCAAGAGCAAAGCAGTGCCCCTGCCATGATGGACTGCCACAGCCTGCTGGCTGGAACAAGGCCCAGGAGCCCTTGTGTGAGGCTCCAGCGCTGTGGGGAGGGGAAGGTGAAGTCAGCTGAGCAGCTGCAATACACTCTGCATGCCCTGGCCTTTCCTTTTTTGCTCCTGGGAAGTCTCAGGTTTGCAGCATGCACAGGCTCCATAATACTCATGCTATCACAAACCTCTTCTCACTCCAGGAAACTGCTTTGGGTTTATGTCAGTATGCAGAGCATTTGAGAACGCTTCTCCTTTCTACCAAAGTAGAAAGGTAGGAGGAATTTCTCAAAGATGAGCAGGAACTAGCACAGAAGCAGAGAAATGACTCCTCACAGTTTCATGGGTGCTAAAGTCTGACTAGCTTTTGGCTGACAGCTAGAGAAAAAATGAGAGAGGTGTGCTTTCTTTGCCCCCTTTTGCTCTCAGGAAAGATCTTGAAAGAGATAATTCCAGTAAGACTAGAAAATGGAAGAAAAGAGACAATGGAGGTAGAATAGAGATGACCCCAAACTGACTGTTCACTTTCTCCTCTGTGATTCACTCCAACTCACCCACCCGACCTGCAGACAACTCCCTCCAGCAAGGGGTGTGGGAGGAAATCTCCCTTAGGGATGTCAGCATGGTGCTAATAATGCCAGGATTGTGGGTTCGATTCCTGTATGAGCTGTCCACTTAAGAGGGGGACTCAATGATCCTTGTGGGTCTCTCCCAGCTACAAATATCCTGTGCTACTGTGATTTTTCTCTGAATAGAGAATGCTCAGTCATCTACAGTTTCCTCCCTCACTGTGAGAGAGATTGCAGTGCAGAATGGAAACAGGAGACCTGTCATAGCAGTGATGGTGAACAGGGGAAGTTATTTCAGGCTACTGAAACAAACGTTGTAAAAAAAAAAACCCACAAAAAAAAAAAAAAACCAAAAAAACAAAAAAGCGAGAATCTGCCAGATCAGATAAACATGAGAGTCATTACATCTCTGAGAAAAATTACCTGTGCTCTATCTGTTAGCTCAGTATCTCAGTGATGTGTGAACTTTCTCAAAAGCAAAGGAGTGATAGAATGCAAACAAGAAAAGAAGTAAGAACAAAACAATGAAATTTTGTGTGACAGAAATTGGGGACTTTTGTGCTAACACAAAGTACTGATAGTCCTTTGCAATTTCCCTGCTTGGCATCAGCCCCTCGGTGTGGTCTCTCCTGTGTCACCAGCTGGCCATGAAGGGTTTCAGGCTGACAGCCAGCCAGAAGACCTCCACTGTAGTGGCCTTTGCAGAACTGGCTGGAGCTGGAATGCATGAAAGTGGAACTACTTTTCCTTTTTCATTTAAAAAATAGCCCTTTCCCTTTTCTGAATCTGGGAAGAGACAAAGGTAAACTAAAATCTGGATTGTAAGGATTACAAATTACAATCAGCTCCAGTGAATTATCATTATCATGAATGTCATTATTTTTACTTGATGCATCTCAAAGAAACTACTAAATGTGCCCATTACTTTCTGTTAGAGCACATTATTGCATGGTAGAAGGTAGTATAATCTAACCAGTCTTCCTTTAAATTTAGAATTCTTATATTTGGAAAACATTGCAATACTCTGAACTTCTATATGCAAGTTGTAACATTTATTGTACCTTACTATATTTTGCTCCATCTTAATACGGTTCTGCAGCAGTCAGCAAAGACCCTATTCTGAGTTCCTCCCAGTTACAAGTTTTCCAAAGGAAATTCATTTTCCAGGGTCATTTTAAAAATATATTCCAAGCTGTTAGCGGATACTTTTCTTTGAACTGGTTTCAATCTTTGTTCTACAGCAGCCAACCCACTTGCAAAGAGTATTTCCAAGGCTTGTTATTCCCATGCAAGATCCCAGCAACAGTACAGAACTCACTGAAGATGTGTGATATGGAATCACTTCCCCAGCAGACTGATCCTGCCCCCAGAAACTTGCCATTAAAGGTAATTACCTACATCCCCCATCTAGAAGTCTGCACGTAGAGGGAACACTAACTTTGAAGGCTCTCCATTTTATTCTCTGGGAACATTTGAGCAATTCCTATCTGCAGCAACACTAAAGTGGCTACAGAAAGATGTATACACAGTTTAAGTAATTGATCAAGAGCTAAGACTACTTTTTTTCATTCTCCAGTCAGTTCTCAGACATCTCTAGGTGATGAAAATACAGTTAACCCATGGGATTTACAATAGGACCACATGCCTCAGATTCAGTTAAAAATGTTTTAGCTGCTGGACCACAATGTCATATTAAGCACATGCCAATTCCCTGAGCCACTGCCAACCCTCAGACAGGCCATTTCTCTTTCTAACCATGATAACTGACTATGGGTAGTGAGTGATTCAAGAGGGGAGCAGCAAGCACTGCATCCTGGCAGTGAGAGAAGCTAAACCTGTTCATTCCATGGCTAAATTTGTCCCTTTCTGCTATCAGCCAAGGGTGACAGATGAAACATTGTGTTAACCTGATGTAATTAAAAGATAGACCTAGCAGGAGACAGTACAAGCGACAGCTGTCAAAACATAGCTCAGGCACAACATTTAAGCGTCTCTTATCAGTGTTTATTCATTCATAGGTTGGACTAATAGAGAAGAGCTTGTGTACAGCTGCAAGTGCCTGTCTGTACTGGGGAAGACAAGTGGTCTTTGCAGGTCTCTCATGAGCTGTGCAACACTGGTGCTGATTGTTAACACACCAGCTCAGTACTTTGTATCTAAGACTGGCTCTAGATAGTGTTTTATATTTAGAGTGTTATGTATGACAGAAGTGGATCCCTATGATTCTTTGCTCAGCAGTCCTGTTTCTCCATCTCAGTAATAACCAATGGACTTCACTCAGCACAAACTGACCCTTTGGATATCTTTGGCTTAGACCATTTCTAGCTGGACAGAGCTGCCTTTGTAGTTAAATACAAGTACTACAAATGAGGAGTGTTTGGCTAGATTTTACTCTTTGTAGCAGGGATGGTCAGGAAAACCACTCTCCTGTCTTACAGTAGTAGCTTGAGTGACTACTAGGCTGTCTTCAATTGGCAGCAGCATTCATCCCAGTTCTTCAAGCTCAGTTCCTTAAGGAGAACTGTAGGATTCATTCCAAATTGAAAATGAGTCTCCCACACTTCAGTCTGAGGAACAAATTCTAGTGTCTGAGCCATTTCTCTGGCTCCAGTCACAGGGAATGCTTCCAAGTACCCTACACAGCCCAGTACGTGCTCCCCTTGCAGACCACACGTGACTCAGCAACACAGGTTTGCCATTCCTGTTACAGTTCCACTCTGACACAAAGAAGGCAAAGGTTACCCTTAGATGGATGAAGCTAAATGTCATACTAAACTATAGAAATATATTCAATGAAATGCTATTAAGGCAAGGTCTGAATTTCTGCATCCATTTTGGTAGCCCTCTTCAAGGAAGAGATCTAGAGCATAGCAGGTTATGATCAAAGGAATGGGGGAGATTTAATCTGGAAAAGAGAAGGCAGAGGGAAAACTATAAGCTTTATGCACATAAAATGCTACTGTAAAGCAGGGAACTCTTCCCAATGCCTGTTGCAATAGAACAGAATTAATGGCTTTGATTGCACAAGGGAGATGCAAATTTAACATAATGAAAGCTTTCTAGTGGGAAAGTTTAGCACTCAAAGACTGTATGTGGGAAATGTGGACCCTCCATTAGAGCAGGTTTTTAAGAAGAGATTAGACAATTATCTGGTCAGAACAGTTAAGGGAAGTGGATTCAAGAAGCTCTCACAGTATCTATTGATCCTATATTTACAGTCCTAGAAAAGATTTTTTTGTGTTGTTTCAGTAGCAACTGTCTGGTTCAGACTCCTGCTGACAGGGATGACATTCAAGAAAAGTGATGGGTAAAACACCTTAAAATGGATGTTTCTACATTTGCTTGCATACTACTGTGATGACTGAAACTCCGCAAACTTCAGCGTGTGAACCCACCAAAACAGGGCTTTTTGTTTATGTGTGAGGCTGTAAGTGGAAGAAGGTATGGATGTTAGGCATCATGAAACCTCAATCCTGGAAGCTTCTGAATGGTTTCCCTTTTGATTTTATGATCCCAATAAGGTTTAGATACACACACAAATATGAAATAGAAAGAAAAAATGATATGCTTTTAAAATACAAAAGCTTAATTTGAGCACACAGGATGCACTTATAATGATCTCAGATATCTACAAACCTCACTCATGCAGGTAATCCCTGGAAAGCTGAAGGTACAGAACCCACGAAGAAACAGCACAGCTCATCAACACAGGAGCCAGGACTATGAGATTTCCAAGGCCAAGGCACCAGTGCATAACAGTAAGCTACTATTCTTGCATTACATCCTGGTAACTACTGGCTGCTGGAAAAAGGAAGATGCTATCTGGAATGAAAATCAGAGATTAGGCAAAATTTATTTTGCTGCTGCCAATGAAATCAGCAACACAGGAGGCCAGATGTTAAAAAAAGAACATGTGTCAATATGGGGATATGCAGGTGTTATCTTTTAGCTCTGGGTGTTCCCCACTGCTCTATGTAATTTAAAGATCTGCTGCCATCAATAACTTATCCATCCAGTCTTGTGCTATTGTTCCATTTTACTGTTCTTATTTTCAAGGACAGTTTCACATTTTGAGATGTATTTTTGTAAGGGAAATCCCTGCCATACTTTTCCTGTAGTGCTTTATTTTCTTCTGAACTTTTGACCTCACTATAAATGGATTTTTGGTTACAGTATTCAATGCATGTATCAAGACAAGGTCTCATCTGAAACTTCCTCATCATTCCTTTCCCACACCCCCTCCCCTAGGCTTCACACTAGATTTCAGGATTTAATTTCTTTTTACCTGACAGTACAAAGTGAGCCACTCTTTGGAAACTCTTCTTGCAGAGGAAAAGGAGTTTTAGTGGTAGTCTGACATGCCTTCACAAAGCACAGACCAAAAGCATCCCTGTTTTATGACTCCCATTTGCCCATGCAGCACACATCACATGCTCAGCAAGGGATCTTCTGGTGTCAAAGTATAATTCCCACTGTGGGCATTAAATGAGATTAGCAGGTGGCAAGAAGTTCAAAGTAAATGAGAGACTGTTGATTATACAATATGTGGTTAAGCTGCAAAACATCTCAGCAGAAATAAGCATAAAAGTGTGTATATGGTCCAAATTGGAAAATTCACAATGAAAATCTATCAAGGATTCCTGAATACAAAGTTACCACCATTGCATTTAGGGAGTACCTGAACCATAAATCCCTGGATTTTGGTGGAGTATTCTGTGGAGGGATCAGTACAGGCTTGCTGTGCTCTTATATTCCTCTCCAGGCTTCCCCAGCTGGCTATCACCAGTAACAGGATAGTGATTAGATGAATCTTCTGTCTTTGGGTGGCTCTTTGCATTTCTTATACAGAACTCCTTACAGGTGACAGAAGGTGGACTCTGCCCCATTTGTTCCTGTTTCATGCCAGCAGACTAGTCTCAGCTACAAAGTGGACAATACAATGCAGGCCCCAGCAAATCTCAGGGATGGAGCACAGGGCCTGCTCCTTGCTGAGAGTGCAGCCTCTCACATGCTTGCAGCAGAGACACACCTGGCTCAGAGTGCCCCACAGTGCATCCAGCCAGCCTAAAGGGCAATGGCTGTGCTGAGTGGCTCCATCTGGCACAGAATCACAGAATCTTAGCTTTGGGGTTGGGTTGGAATGAACCTTAAAGTTTAGCTGGTTCCAACCCTCCTGTCCTCACTTTGGGGTTGGAACTATGCAGTACTGGGCATGGGGAGACCCTGGAGCATTGCAGTGTGGGAGGTGTCTTGGCACAGGGCATTGCTCAGGAAAGGCATACAGCAGTCAAAGGCACGCTCCCAGCTGCAGCCTAGCACGTGTCCCCACCTCTTCAGATCAGCAGTGTGACTGTTCAGAAACCCCTTAGGTCCAGAACCTGTGCCTCACTTTCTCCTGAAAGTAATGTAGGCACAAATAATTCATGATATCACATCTTGAGCTTGACGTACTTTCAAAACTACTCAAAACCAAATAAAAACCCCCTTGCCATAGCAACTACCCTATTGTTAACCCAAAGCTGAGGCTTTTAAAATCTGTGGTCCTGGGTATTTAGATGCACTGTCATTCCTACTGATACCAGCCACATCCCTTAATTCAAAGTCATGCACAGCCCATACATGGTGAGTAGAAAGAACCAAGAGAAGAAGGTCTCCACTAAGGAAACCACCAAACCATTCCTTCATGAGCTGCAATGGGCCTGCCTCACACAGCGTAACTGTAGACAGAGAGACAGCTCTCTCCAGACCTGTTTAAAACACAGTACAGAGATTAAACAGCTGCCTACCCTTTTTTCCCCTTTTTTTGGCTCTCTTCTCTCTTATACAATGAACACCATGGAACAAAAAGCGCAGCCAAAGCAAACATCACTTAGACCAAGAGCTTGATGTCAGAGAGTTGAAAGTGAAGCTCCCAAATTCAGAAGAAAACACCTACTAGAGCTCTCTTCAAGAGCACTATTGGGATGATGACTTTTGCCTCAGTCTACAACAAAGGAACAACCACACACCATCAGTTACAAGCCCAGTCTTGAGATGAGGAACCTGGTCCCTGTCAGGAGGTCTATGCTGCATCACTTCCTCAGGTGATCAGCAGTGAGAGCAGCACCCACCCCACGAGCATCTGATGGCTCTTGTAAGAGAATGCATGAGCCTCAAATTACTAACTTGAGAGATGGAAATCAGTGGAAACAGTTAATGCAAGCCTCTGTGATCTAAGTTGCCTTTATTGCATTAGGAGAATTCATTAGTCATATCATTCTGGGAATGCTGTGCCAGGTTGTGTTCAGCCTCAGAGCTCTGAGCCCTCATCAAAATATGCTATTTGGAAAAGCCAATTTCAAACCATTTCCTAAAGAACAAACCCTTATTTGTGCATATTTACCCAAACAGACTTAAAATGAATTCCCAAGTCTTTGCAGACTTCACACAATTCATCAATTTCTCATGATCAGTCTGGGGATGTGCAGAGGAGGCTCATGGTACTTTCATGTTTTCTCATTAAAAAACACCCATTGGTACATTAATAAGACAAGAGCATCTCAGCAGGACATGTAGTTATGTGACATTTCAAGCCTTTTGAAGAAAATGCACAGAAAGGAAATGAACCCCAGCAGTTACAGCCAGCAAGACAACAAGTAAATGAGCTTTACATGTGGAGAACAAAGAGAGAGGGTGTCAGGAATGGATGAAGTGAAGATATGACAGAAGAGGGGAGATCATTCTGCCTGAGAGCCTCATTAGTATCAACAGACTGGAAAGAATGAAAGACTTCAGAGGTCAAGATGTCCTGATGTGTCCATCTCACTTAGGCTAGGATAAAAGCCACCAAAAAAACACTGTTTCATTCTTTCCTGTGTATCACACCCAATACTGAGCCCCATTCCGAAAGAGCTAAACAAACTGTTTACATTTTTTGAGTGTATGTATTACACTGTGTTTATTTTCAAAGTTTTAGTTTCAGAGTAGCCCTGCAGGGTAGGACAAAGATGGAGTAAACCCTGCCTCATGGTAGTACTCTAGCAACAAGTATTCCTTGAATTTGTTGCATATCTCAAATTTTTTTGCAGAGATGCCTCTTTATTTGGGTGCACCATCTACATGTGATTATCATTCCCTTCTTTCAAACAAACTTTGTCTGAAACCACACAAGCTATGCCTACACAGCTACCAGCACTTAATACCCCCTTTGATGCCACTGCCATATTGACCAGCACTTCTCCACTGGGAGCAACTATTAAGCTCCACCAGACTGTGCGAGTGAAAAGCATCTGCAAATATTGGCTACAAGTCTAAATCCTGACTCACCTGCTGTAGAACATGAGCAGCTGCTGGCAGTAAAAGCAAATAAATGCATGCTTTCCAGAAACATTTCCTAATAGTGAAAAACTGTCTTTAAAACATAGATTCAGCTCTTCAAGGCTGCCTTTCTATAAGCCCCTGAGTCTGAGAAATACAAGTTTAATGTGTACCTGGGTGAGTGCATTCCCCACCTTGCTGAACCTCCTTCACCTTATTTCAAAGGGTTTCTCCCTCTGGCAAATGGAGAGCAGAAGTCTTTTATGTATTCACTTCAATAGTTCCCACTTATTCCCATGTGCTTGGCAGCCATCCTTCCAAGTAGCCTCCCTAGTTTGTTAACATACTGGATTTATTAATCCCATTTTGCAGTTTGTTGAACTTTCCCTTAAACTCTTCTCTTTGACCAAGAAATTCAACTTTTACAAAGGTAGAGAAACATCTTAATGCCATATATTTTCCACCACCGGCCCCCAGGCCTTTTAGATATATTTGCATATTTTTGGCATAAAACTTTTTTGGGTAGTGCCCATAAAACACATCATATTCTTGTGGGTTTTTTTTAACTTTGGGTTCTTTCCATGCAGGAATAAAATACTCTCACAGAATGCCACACAGCATAACCAAACCTTCCAATTTATTGTGCTGTTTGAGAAATTTCCACTCAACAAACTGGAAAATTTTTAGGAGTCCTAGAAATGCTGAAGTACAACAGTACAACACACATTTCCAAAGTATTTTTATCATGATCTTAAAACATCCACATTTCATTTCTATCAAGGGAAAGGGTATTTTACTTGTATGACTTGTCAAATTGCCTTCATATATTTAAAAAAAAGTTTAAAAATGCTTCAGTTAATGTTAAAAAGGCTTCAGTACTATAATCTTTTAAAATATATCTCCAAAAACAAATTTCAATCTATATGGATACATATTTTTTCAAGCAAAGGAAGCCAGAAACTGACATTGCTGGAACTTGCCTTAAAAACAAAATCAACCCCAAAACAAGCAAACAGAAACAAACCACCCAAACCACCCAATACAAACCAACAATAACAAAAAAAAAAAAAAAAAAAAAAAAAAAAAAAAAAAAAAAAAAAAAAAAAAAAAAAAAAAAAAAAACAAAACAAAAAACACAAAAAAAAAANAAAAACACAAAACCAACCAACCAACAAACAAAAAAAACCACACAAAACCAACCTGCATTGCAAAAAGTAAAAAATATAGAAATTTTCATTAAAAGATCTGGCTTTCACCTCAAAAAAATTGCCTACATAGTTTTGGGACTTGTGACTTTTTATGGTTGTTTGCTTTCCATAAAAATCAAGCATTTTCATGGGGAAAAAGCAGTTCCCTAACCAGTTCTTTGGAGCACCTTGTATTATCTGTCCATATTTGTCACACACAAGACAAGAATAAAGATATCCCATGGGTGGCTTCTTACATATTGACTGTAATATTA